TTTTGTCATGATGTGGTAAAGCAAGGGACACCTGTTTCTACCTTTTCTTCCCTTTCCCCACCCCAACTAAGTTTTCAGTGCCATCTTACGGAAGAGGAAAAAAAACTTGAAAGAAAAATTAAAACGAATTATACTTATCACAAACAGCACACATACAAGCACAGCAAAAAGATAAATGTTGTTCTAGTTGATACGGGATGTTTTTTGGAAAATTTTATATAGATTTTTCTTCACCTCAGATTACATGAAATTACTAAACTTGTTTTTAAAAGAATTTTAATTATTATTTACAGAAAACTATTTTTCAAAACCACATGCCACATTACAGTGCTTGTGAGAATAAACACTGAGTAGGTAACTGACAAACTGAGGAGCAACTTCAAGGGCAGTTCTGAAAAATGACTAATTAATACTTTTTCAATGAATAGGCTGATACTTTTAAGTGAATATAATTATATTATATGACAAGCCTGTGGGAATGGAACTTAACATTTATGTTGTTAGTCCACATTCTTTAAGGATAAGGAGAACAAGGAAAGGGTTTGAATTATGTCAGAACAATATACATATATATATATTTGTATATATGTATAACATATATATGTGTGCATGGATTAAAACCAGAAGCTGCCTTCCTTAAGATTACCCTGATAAAATATAAACCTAAAGTTTTTACCACTGATATTGTTTATTTGATGGATGTTAGGCATTTTGCACAGACATGGGCATTTTAAAAAGAACTGACAGAGAAGACTGCTTGGAAGAAAAAGCTACGGAGTGCTGTAAATCTAATGAGTTTCCAACTTGCATATCATCTCACACTAACATCAAAGTAAGGTGAAACAAGGTCAAAGAGTATTTCTGAGTATCAAAGGAGTCTTACACTGCAGTACATTTACATGCCACTGATCTGTATCCCACAGGCTACTATTAGCCCAAAACAGATCACAGGCTGCCACATTTCCATCTGATTCACAACAAATCTTTCCATTACAAACTTAGCTGAGTAACTCCACCTGTGATTTTGCTTGTAAACCAGGACTGAAGAAACCTTCAGTGTTTACAAGTCTGACTGTAGTTTCCTGTCAATAGCTCTGACCTTAACAAGGACAAGGACTCTATCCTGGGATGCTTTCAGACTTAGTGGAAAAGAGCTAAAGGATAAGACTAGGCCTCAGTAACTTCACATACTAAGCCAGTATGTAAAAGAAAAGCCAAGGAGCTCAACTTGATTTGAGTGGGAGAGCCAGCCATCTGAGAGGTGAGTCAGTGCAAGGCCTCAGGGTCAGCGATTAAAACCCAGAGAGAAGGGTACTGCCTGCAGCAAAATTAGGTAGACAGGAAATACTGCCGAGTACAGGAATTTTTTGATCTGTCATGGAAGTAAAACAGAGGAGAGAGACTGGGAATGAGCTAAGATTTAGTGTATGCAGGTAGGACAGACAACTGCGAGACCTGGACAGATGCTGGGAAGAGAACAGAGAACTCTGACTGCTAAGTAAAGAGACTCCGATGAAAAAGAGGGTGAGATAGCACCATTAAAAAAAATATATAAATGATAACATCACCACTATGGAGATCTGAATTAAGATTAATTTCTTTCAGAATAATAACTACTTGGGGCAGGGTAAGGAGGGGGAAGAAGCAAAGGCAAGCATTCTTCCTTCACTTCCCATCTTTGAATCTTTTCACAAATGAGGCAGCGAGTATTTATCCACTACTTTTGGAAAGATCATCCTTTTTCGTGCCAAATTTGGCATTCCTGTTTTTAATTGTCAAGTCTGAAAAACCAAGAAGTGACAGTTTTGGGTTCTGCTCCTGTATGAATAATGCAGGTGCATGGGAGTAAGGTAACAAATCATAAACAGAGAACAAACTGTATTAAAAAAAAAGATGTATATTTATGTTTGTTGACAAAGCTAATATGATGCCAATATTACCCATGGACAAGTGTTAATCCATTATAGAAAAGAAGTTACTGTAACTCCTCTGGATTTAAAACTGGCAAGAAGAGAGTAATTTTACATCACTGAAGATACAGAGGAATGTATCTAAAAACAATTTCTTCACCCAAACAAGTAATAAAAATAGTTATAACCTAGTAGTAAGAACAAACATTCAAACCCTAGCACATAAAATTGGAAACAGCAACATTATTTCTGTTAAGCACATGCTAAAATCAGTAAACATTTGAGCATATTGAGTATTCACAGTACTATGTAAATAGCAGATTAAGTAGACACAATATTCTATGCAACTAACTTAATGCCCAAAATAAATACATCAAAAGAATTTTAGATCAACAGCACGTCGTGTGCCGTTACGAATAATGTGCTGAAATCTGCCAAGCTATTTTTGAACACTTTCAAAGAACTTCAGTATTTGAGACAAGACTGAAGACATGTTGATGTGTTTTTATTACAGAATTTACTTTACCAATCTGGCAATGTAGTCTTCTTAAATTAGCATTAAAATATTGTATCTTTCTTAATTGAATCCACACCTCCTCTTTGTAGCAGATACACTCTACTTTTTAAAGACACAGCGTTGTTATCCTAAACAGCACTTGGGGCAGGAGATGGCCAAAGACTTTGGACATGTGCATTTCTTCCACTGTCAGAGAAGACCCTCAAGTAGCCCATACACTTTCATACAAAAGGTTAAGTGTTGAAAGTTGTTCTGTTTGGCCTATACTTCCATGGGTTTAGAATTAAATCAGAAAAAGTGGATACCATGATAAAGGTAAGGGAGTAAATATGTATTCTAGCATGGTATTTAAAATACAGCTTCACTAATATAAGGCAGATACAACAAATTTTAGTTGTTTGCTTAGTTACATCGCCCTTTCAAATTTAATGTTGAGGTATACTTGGTTTACAAAACTTCCCCTGGAATCATATCAGCCACGGGGTTTTCAACAGCATTTCAAAATATGTTCTCCACTTGTAACTCTTGAAAACCACTGCAGCAAGTGGTGGCAAAGAAAGGGCTTTATGATTTCAACTGTGTATCGAAGTCTGACTTCAGGTCATTTTGGAGTGTGGGTTATTTTCAATTTACATGAAATGTCAATAGCAGAGGTTACTTTTTTTTTTTTGCTCTGTAGTTCAAAAAAGTAGGGTGCAAGCTGTGAAAAGCTTTTCCACTCGGCAGTCAAAAGGATCTGGGGGAATCTCAACAGCTCTCAAGTTTAGGCAGAGGACCTTGAAAGAATGCCGTTAATGCAGGTCTTTCTAGATGTATTTTGGTACAAGCTGTTTCCCTATGGTGCTTTATGTTGGCACACTTTGCACATTACGTAATCTTCTGTCTAGCAGCATACCACGTTTCTTTCCTGTTTCTTTTCTAAAATAAGGATGCTTCTCTGCTTCAATCACTGTCTGAGTTATCTAGTAAATCAGTTTTGCTTACAAGGCACCAGCCTGGAAGTCTGAACTGGGGTCTAGAGCACCTCCTCTCACTTCTCAAAATTTGTATCAGGAAACTAACCCTAGCTCCAGACAGCAGCCCAACCTTGAAGGAGCCCTTAATGCTGGTCAATCCAAAGAAGATGCATGGGAATTCAAAACAACATACAGACCTGCAGAATTCATAAATAATACATTTCACTATTAGTTCTACTTCCTCAGCTGTAACGTATCTTCAATGAAATCTGTCCATCTACAGAAGTCATCAGTATATCTTAATTGCAACGTATCACTTGAGGATTAATGATTCTAATACATTACCACTGTCTAACTTCTACAAAGTTACCAGCTTCAAAACAAAAATATATTGACACTAACCATGCTAATCTGCACTACCAGATTTTTATTTTTAGAGTACCTAGAAAAGAGTGAAATAACTGATAAAATACACATTAAAACTAAAGTAACCGTATATTGTTTTGTCACCAGAAGAGTTTTGGAGAGTAATAATTCGGCGTCTAGAAGGCAATACAATCACTTTTCATCAGATGCCGTAAGTTTCCTCACATTCCAAGCTACAATTAATCTAAGCATACATACTATCCAATGACATAGAGTTAACAAGCACTTTGCTGCAACACTCAGAGTTCAACTCCAAGGACAGGACTCTAATAACAATGCAGACTAACTTGCTTGTTTTCCTTCTTTTACCCTTTTGTGTGTATTAAAAGACAGCCGGCCTTAAATTACCCCAAGACTCATACAGATGACTAAACCACAAATAAGCCAGTGTACTACAGAACTAGGAGGTTGCTCTCCAGTCAGCTATGTGAAAAGTGAAACACACAGTGTGCTCAAGAGGTACTACTCTTCAAGAAACAAAACATAACTTCCTTCATCATGGGGGGGCGAGGGGTTCTTGAGGAAGGTGTAACAGAAAACTGAAGTTAATCAGACTATGGTCTGGAAGAGTGCTTGAAGTCCCGTTGACTACACTGAATGCACACTGTGCAACTTTTCAACTCCCAAAATACTTGTTACCTTATATGCAACACCTAAGACAAAAACCCACGAACAAACCCCACAAAACCTCCACTTTACCAACCATCCCTAGTTTACTATTTTTTTTTTAACCTGTGCTCTTTGTTTGTCGTTAGCAAGGCTGAAACTGAACACCCAACACCTTCTCAAAACTTGCAATGATGTAACTAGGCCGTCCACGATCTTCCCGTCAAGAGATGGGAAGTCCGGCAGCAAGGGCTCCCTCCCCACACTGCCTATGAGGTTTCCACTGTGGAAGTTGGAGGAACCCACCCGGCTTCAGTAAACCTCGCTCCGCCGGGCGGAAGTGGGAAGGGGACCACCACCAAGCACCCTGAAGGGGACGAGGCCCTCGAGGCCCCGAGGGAACACCCTCAGGCCGGCATGCGGGGAGGGGGCCAAGCTTGGGGGAAAGCGGGCGAGGGGCCAGGGAAGGCGGCAGCCACACAGAGTCCCGTGTTCCCCCGGCCGGGCCCTGCAGTAGGGTGGGCACAGGGGGAGGACACCCCCCTCCCCGGGACATGACGGGCACGGCACGGCGGGCTCCCTTACCCACAGTGGACTTGCAGGCCTCGCAGAAGGTGTCGTCGGTGAAGCGCTCCATGAGGCTGGTCTTGCCCACCCCCCGCGACCCGATGATGATGACCTGCAGCTTGAAGTCGGCCGGGCGCGGCGGCTGCTTCCTGCGGCGGGACTGCCCCCCGGAGAGAGCCGGCGACCCCGCCGCGGAGCCCGCCCCGAGGTCTAGCCCGCCGCCCCCCACCCTACGCTGCGGCAGCCCCGAGCCCGGCTCCATCAGCGACGCATGCGGCGGCGCCGCGCTAGCGCCGCGCTCCCTCGCCGCGCCCCACGCTCCCGCCCTCCCTGCCACCGGCGCCGACACTGCGAGGCAGGGGTGGAGGGGGGACAGGAAGGACGAGAAACGGCGGCCACCCGGCCCGACCCGACGCGAGGGGAACAGCAACAGCAACACCGACAGGAACGGGAACTGCGCCGCCGCCGGGAGCGGCGAACCCAGCCCTGCGCCAGGCCGCGCAGCGCCCCCTACAGTGCCGGAGCCGCGGCCCCACGCCGCAGTGCCGGGGGCGGGGAACGGCAGCGCTCCCGTGCCGCCCTTCCGCCGGCTTCGTGCCGGCCGCGCGTTCCCGTCGTTCTGCTGGAGCTGGCGGCCGGGTCGTTGCCGGTGTGCGCCCCGGCGCGGATGGGGAGGGCGGCCCGGCGGCCTCCCGGAGTGGGCCTTATCCCCGCGCTGCCTCGGCCCCTCCGGTGGAGTGATCCGTGGTGGGCTCCGGCCTGGTGTACCCGGAACCTGCGCAGTTAGGCCGCGCTTAGGAGCCCCGTGAAGGCTGTCCTTGCCGGGGCGGCGGGGTTTACCCTAAATTTGCCTTCAGGTAGTCAAGTGGAGCTCCCGGGTGCCGCAGCACTCGCGGTGCTGGTGTCGGCTGGGGAGGATTTCACTGTAAAATCCAAACCCAGTACTTGAGCATATGGATGACATCTTTGCTCCTGGGCGTGGAGCTTTCCCTAACCACTGCCTAGTCTAGCTGCTCACATTCCAAGCAAAGGGGGGAAATGGCATTAGAGGAAGTAGTGTCATAAATCACGTGGAGGAAAATGATCAGGGTGAGCCTTGCTCACTGGGATTTTTGAGGAAATTTTAAGTGTTCACAGACTCCAGATTTTTCAGCAACATCAAAGCTTGACTTCCAGAGGTAGGAAGGATTCAGTTTTAATTGAGATCTGTGGGTAGACGCAGTATTCCTGTGAACATCAGAGGTGAGAGCGGCCAAAAAGAATGGATGTTTGCAAAAATTTGTCCCATTTTCTAGATTCTCACTCCCGCTTGTAAGCTAAGGAAATGCCACAACGTCAAATTGGGCTTTACACATAGGAAACCACTGGTATATAGGAATGATTTCTCAAGAGCTAATTTTGTGGAAGAAACAAGAAACAGTTTGACAGAAAGGTTATGTTGTCAAGAACAAAACCCAAAACCCAACAGTTACAAAGAACAAGATAACTAGTTTAGTATTTTTCTTAATGTCACTAATTTTCATCAGAAAATATCAGTGATTCTTCAAGCAAGTAGAATGGTCTAAACCTTAAAAAAAAAAAAAAACTTGACAAACCAACCCCAACACTTCTTATGTATTGCTGTCCCTCCATCCTCTTATTGCCTAAAATGCTGTAATTAGGTATTTGAAAGGGCAATCCATCACTGAGTGCGAAATAATCTAGCAAGTAGAAGATCATAACAAGATAACCTTTTTGAGTTGTTCACTTTTCCCTTAGGTCCTTCCTCTAGAGTTCTGTTCTCCAAAATCGGGCACTTGCTATGAGCCATTTGCAACACTGATAGATCCTCAAGACCTATCAGCTCTTCCTAAGGATCAGCTCTTCCCATCAGGATCATCAAGTCTGATTCTATGCTCCTTACAGGACTACCTAAAATGAAATCATATGATGGAAAGTGTCATCCAGACAGTCCCTGAACTCTGACATTTTTGGTGCCTTGGCCACTTCCCTGGGGAGCCTGTTCCAGTGACCAACTGCCCTCTCAGTGAACAGCTTTTTCCTAATGTCCATCTGAACCTCCCGTGACACAGCTTCATTCCATTTCCTCATGCCCTACCACTGATCACCAGAGAGAGATCAGCACCTCTTCCTCCCTCCACTGCCCCTCTTGCTGAAGTTATAGACTGTAATGAGGTCACAGTATCAGTTGAGTACAGGGCCTTCTCTCCTCCAAGCTGAACAAATCACCCCAGCTACTCCTCAGAAGTCTTGCCTTCAAGGCCCTTCTCCATCTTAGTCACCCTTCTCCAGATATACGCTAATAGTTAGACGTCCTTATATTGAGGTGCCCAAAAATTCACACAGTACTCAAGGTAGGGCCACCCCAGTCAGTGTAGAGTGGGACAATAGCCTCCCTCGACCAGCTGGCTATGCTGTGCTTGATGCACACCTGGACACAGCTGTCCCTTTTGGCTGCCAGGGCACACTGTTGACTTAACCCAGGCCAACAGACCTAAAGACTTCCCATCAACCTAAACCAACTAGTAGAGCAATAGGTCCTTATTTGTCAAGACCAAATTACAAATCTCAGGCAGAAGAAGAAGCATGTGGACAACCTGCAGTACTGCAGAAATGAGTTTATCATACCCTCAACAATTTCACTCCAAACAAGTATTTTTATTGCAGAATTTTTATTTATTTATTTATTTATTTATTTTCCCCAATAGCTGGGTTTGGATTTTCTTTATAAAACAGACAACACCAGCAGTAGCTGCTGATGGAAAGGTTTTCAAATAAACTTTCAAAATGTTCTTCTGAGTTTTGCTTATTTATGTCAGAGAATATCATTCACTGCTTGGAATGTAATTAATTTTCCAGGGTATTAGATATGGCACAGTATTAGTTTGAGAGTTTTACTTGCCATCTCTGGGTGATCTGATTAGCATTTTAACCTCTGGCTGTGAGAGATGGTTGGGAGTGATGCTTTCATCTAGACTTCTTCCTCTCCTACCCATGGCAGAAAGTGATCGTTAGAGGAAGAGTCATTATCAAAAGCATGGAAAATGGGTTCTTTTGCTCAGCTGGAAAGAGGTGATATTTGGGAACTGGAGATGATATTTAGGAACTGTAAAGTTCTTTTACTGTTACAAAGAGATTTGTATTGGTATAGTTCATACACTTTCCCTAAGTTGGAGTCTGTATGTATGATGTACTTATGAATGTGCATCAGTAGATTAATACCTACACACAAAGGATGTGCTGATATCACTATATAAGAAAGTTTTGGTAGACCTATACAACTTCTATGGATAATATAGCCTACACTTCAACTCATTTACGTACACAAACAAAAGATCAACATTGAAAAAAAAAAACAATCAAAAACTAGCTCAAAAAATAAAGAGATGGGATTTTGATTTCCTTGTAATTGTTTAGCAAAAAATAATCAATATGTTAGTAGGTAGTGTAGTCTGACTTGCAATGTTTTCATTACAAATTAAATTGGTATTGGCCAGAGGAAAAAAGCCTGGGGCAATGCTCACAGGATTGGTACAGCAGCATGGTTGAAATGGAAAATGAGCTTCTGACCTCTTAAAAAGCAAAGAAACAAGCAAACAAAAAGTCTTCAAATATCTTGTTTTATTAATAAGCACTTGTAAGGGGAAAAAAAGGCTGGTTTTGTATGTTTTCAATCTGTGTTCTTAAGGTTAATAATAGTTAATATTTCCATCCCTCCTCTATATCCCAGTACTCTTAGGGCAGCTAGTACATATGTATATGTTTGGAAATGTGAAAGGAGTCTTGTGTCAATGTGGTGAGCTGTTTGGAGTTGTCACTTTGTGTCTGTACTGTTAATTTCTGCTCTACAGCCTTTAGCATATATTCCCTATATGTTGTATGTTGTGTCCTAGGACTAAACTTTTTATTTTCATGCCTTTTTTTTTTTCTTTTTTTTCTTGCTTTCCACTGTTCCTTGTACACCTTTAGTTTTGATCCAGGTTGCAGTTATTTCAAGACAAATATTTAAAAGAAAAGACATGAAGCGTTCTTTTGGTGAGAGGGAGGAGAGCAGTGTTGGTAGGTCAGCCTTCATGGCTATCAAACCCAGTTTCTCTAAGCTTAAAGGTTATTGATGGAATATTGACAGAGTGGCCATCATTTCAGTGGAAGGAACTCATGCTACTCAATTGAGTACAGTAGTATAGTTAATTTACATGTCTCTTTAATCAATCTTTCTCACAGTCTGTTCTGCAATACTTATACCGTAATATCTGAACTATATTAGTGTTATAATTAATTTCTCTTTTCAGTACACATCTGAAAGGATGCCATTATGCCCATATTACAGATGGGAAACTGAGGCCCTGGTAGTTTTGGCTGTGTACTGTTTTAGACTGATTAGAAAAATTTTATGTGGTTATTTTATGTGTTAAATCCTGAGGATTTCCGTCATAAACTGGTTAGAATTTGCTGTTTTGTAAAGGGTGGCAAAATAATTTTTAAAGCAATGGCAGTCAAAATCAATACAAAATAGGGACTGCAAGCTTACATGCACACACTGCCAGAGTAGTCTAAAAGCCGTGTTTCAAGGCTATTGTATATTGGAAAAGTTCTAGCACCTCAGAAGAACAATCCAAGAAGTAGTCTAGAGCTACTTTTGTCAAAAATGCGAAGCACAGGGCTATAGCTGACATCTCTCTTCTCCAGAGAGTTCAAAGCTTTATACAGACTCTTTCAAGGTGCATAGCAGAATGCAGATTCTCCCTCCCAGATTAATATCCAAAGACAATCTCTTATCAAATATAACTCGGTGGGTCCTGTTAGCTTCATTGCTCTTTTTTCTACTCTCTATATTTGTGAAAAGATCAGGGCCGTGGATCTATGTGCAACTTTTTTCTTTGGTGGAAATAAACAACTACCTTTTTTTTCCTTGTTTTCAGAAAATCCATCAGCTCTGAATATTTTTCCCTCTCTTTCCAGGGTGGTCAACTGTGATTCCCATGTGAATTTTAGATACACTTTCTAAACTGCTTTTAATCTGGGCAATAAACCCTCTTTTTAACATATTTTTTTCTTTTCTGGACTTGAATATTTTATTTACTGTGTGAGTGAACTGAAAGAACCTTTTTCCTAGGCCATCAGAACCCATTCTCGGATTTGAAAGGATAGCAATTTTGAGTGATACCACACCCTGTTTTAGTTCCTTAATATATTTGTTTCCCCTGAAAATTCAATGTTAACACTATTGTGTCCATATTGTTCTCATTTTTGACAAATCCCATACACACATGGGTTATTTATCATCCAGTATCAACATGTCAGATTGAGTATGATCAACTAAAGAAGAAAACAAACAAAAATTGGAAAAAGTCCTACTGTAAACAGCTCTGCAGATTCTTTATTATGCTATCGATTTTAAGCAGGTCTCCTCATTGATTTCAGTGTGGAGTTAAGAAAAATCAATAGTATAAGATGGCCTCCTGATTGTACCTTAAAATTGTACAAAGACAATAAAATGATT